ATTACAAGATGAAGTCACCCGCCCCCAAATGTTTCCGTTGTTCTGGTTCAAGGGTGTGACAATTTGGTACTCATTGGAGGCATAAAGCTTTCAACTTGCTTCATGAATTCTTAAATCTTTATTAATGGAGTTTTGGACATCCTTAGGTCCTAAGAATGGATTTTTATGATCCAACTTCGTTTCTAGGCTTAGGTTACGACCCCTAGTGCTAAATGTGTCTCTATGTGAGTAAAGTTTTGATCCTTAAGGTCCTTTTGTGACCATGCATGATATATATTCCTTTCCATGGAAGTGAGTTTCTATATTCCAAGTTTGGATCCATTTTGTGGGTTGCAAGCCACGAATTAATCGACTTTATGAGTTAAGACATGTTAATCAACACATATCTGTAGTTTAGACTTAAGGTCTAAAAGGATTAAGCAGTTTTGGAGAATATGTGGCTTAAAATAGTAGTACCCTGGGTGTACAAGCCATACAGCCTGTACGCTTAGCGTATAGAGGAGTATGCCATGTGTACTCTCATGCATTGTGATTTACGTCTTTTGGGCCACAAAAATCTTTGGACTTATCATCTATTGGGCTGTAATGGGCCATCAGAAGTCAGTTAATGGGCCAATGACATGTTTGGGCTTAATGGAAGGCCCATTTGAGGAGTTGGGCCCAATTCAACAAATTGGGGCATTGATGGGCCACTTGTGCGTTGGGTAGGCTATTTAGATTTGGAACCCTTCATGTTATGGTGTTGGGCCTTAGGCTTTGGCACAATTAGATTAGGGGTAAAATGGTCATTTTACCCTAAGAGGGATTATTAGTTCTGACTAAGTGTTATTATGGTAACGATAGCTCAGGGAGTCGTCAGAGTTACCGCTAGAGATTTATTACCATGAGATTTCGCATTCGACTTTGTGAGTTGAGTTACATTCTAGTAGAAGTGGGTCGAAGGCACCAAGGCCAACCCCTAGTAGTTTATTATGGTTAAGATGATTGTCTTTGTGATAATTGTCTGGTATGCGAATATTTGTTATGCGTTATGCGCTAGTCTCCTATGATATTATATGATAGTGGTAGGAGGGGTGAGATAGACCCCATTATCGGTTGTAAGGATCGACAGGGTAGGTCGGGCACACATATATGCCTGTCAGTTTATTCATGATATGTATTATTGTATTGGTAGAGGTGAAATAGTCCTCGTAGCTGGTTGAGATACATCGAAGGGTATGTCGGGCACCTAGTTATGCCTAGCAGGGTAGGTCGGGCACCTAGATATGCCTAGCTGGATAGGTCGAGCACCTAGATATACTTGATTGGGTAGGTCATGCACCTAGATATGCTTGGCAGTATGTGATTATGTGGTATGATGGGGGAAGTCACTAAGCTTTGTACTTACAGTTTTCATTTTTGGTTTCAGGTACTTCCTTTTCGAAGGGAAATGAGTCGACATGATATCAACGCATCACACTACATTTTCCGCAATGGAGATCTTTGGGATTGTTACTCGGATATTGTTTTAGCATGACATACTTTGACTATTGATACTTTGGATTTGATATGAATTGATACTATGGTTGTTTTAAGAAAAATGGGTTTATAATCATTTATTTAGAAATGAAATTTTTGGACCGAATTTTTGGGATGTTACATTTATACATAAATTATTCATATTTTAACACAAATTATAAAAAATTCACAGTAAAATGCAATCGATTCACAATTTAAATAGAAAACTAATAGTTTAAGGTAGTCAATTCACATTTTTCAACACAAAAATCACAGTTTAATAAAAAAAATCATAGTTTAATATAGTTAGTTTCAAAATTAAAAAAAAAATATATTCACAGCTTATTTTAGTTAATTCAGAGTTTAAAATACAAAAATTTCAGTATAGTACATAAAATTCACAACTTATTACAATAAATTTACAGATTAATACAAATAATATAAATTCAAAACCATAGTATCAATTTGAATATCTTAATACGGACAAATCATAGTTTAGTATACAAAATTCATAACTTAATATAATAATTTAACAATTTAAGACAAAAAAAATTTATATTCACAACTATATGAAAACTTATATTTCTACGTTAATATATGAAGATGTTTTTATGTATTAAATTGTGAATTTAATATATATAGCCGTGAATAAGATTCACACCGTAGTACACAATTCACAGTTTAGTATACAAAATTCACAATTTAATATAATAAGTTCACAATTTAAAACAAAAAAAATTATATTTACAACCATATTTTAAAACTAAAACTGAAATTTATACGTTAATACTTGTAGGCTTTTTTATGTATTAAATTGTGGATTTAATATATTAAGTCGTGAATAAAATTCACAACGTAATACACAAAATTCACAGTTTTATACATTACATTCACAACTCATTCACAAGTAAAATCTCATATTTCATTGTATTAAAAAATTCATTCACAGTTTAATACATAAATAAATTATATCATATTTTAGAAGTAGACATAAAAAAAAACATATACATGAATCATAAAAGGTAATAACTTATCTGAAGTCAACGAAGATGATGAGTGAGAAATAAAACATATCATTACTCTACCACCGTAACCAGTATCAACACTGCCCACTATCGAACATTGCTATCAACCATCACCACCACCAACCACCGGTGCCAACATCATAAATATCATTCCCTTTAAAATCAGATATGGATAAAAAAATCAGAATTAAAAGTTAAATACAACATTTCAAACAGTAGTTAACAACTTAATTCATCATTTTAAACATTAATTAAACACTTAATACATCAAAGAAATGCACATTGTTAATAACTTAGATAAATTAATACATAGAAAACACATGACTTACCACATTTCGTTGAGACATTTCATCAAACACTTTGTGTGCACCAGATACATCAGATCTATAATTACTATAAAACATCAGATTGACCAAATATATAAGACTTTCATCATCTCTGAAGTCAAGTGATGTTGTTTGTTTCTCTAGAGAGGTTTGATGGTAGTGATTTGACGGCAAGAGCAGATCCAAATCTTCAGTAGAAAAATACAACAAAATTCCAGAGGTTTGAGATGAAGAACACATAACCAAATGTGCAACCTAAAGAACATGACATCAGATCTAGTCAGAACTCTTTCAGTATTGTCAGACCTCACATATCTGGACATCCGTGGTTGTAGAAATCGTAAATCTAGACCGGAGCTTGCAGATCTAGACAATGGTACAGAATATTTGCTGGTACATCTGGTTTTTCGGTGACAAAAGGTGTTAGATCTGAAAGTAAAGGCGAAACTGGTGGCAGATCAGAAAATGGATGTTCTAGATGTGACCAGACCTCAAAAGATCTAGACTAGGAACACGATCAGAGATAAGAAAGAATCACAAGTATCATTCAGATCTGATTAGATCTGAGCAAAAAACACAAAAAAAGGTCATCGGAATTATGCCATCGGAGATGACAAGCGATGGTATGGCAGTCGATGGTAGATCTAAAATAGAAACACCTCTGTGATGTCATTTTTGTTGTGGTTCTAGAAGCAAAAAAAAATCATCACTTACTCAACATTCCGGCGAAGTTTAAGTAGCCGAAACGGTGGTGCCAGCGGTGGTGGTAATAGGGAATATGTGTTCTTGAAAAACGGTGGGAGAGTTTAAAAGGATTCATCATTTGAAAAGATAGATCTGATTTTAAAATAATGTTTTTGTATTGATTATGTTAAATAGACAAAAATACCTTAATAAAATGGTTATTAACTTTTAGTGGTTTTGATTTGATTTTTTTTTCTATAGAAAATGCCAACTAAGTATGTCACTTTCCCATCCTTATAGTGAGACAAATCAAATCAATGGTGGTGGGTGTAAAGTCTTTAGTCTTTAATTGGACAGTGCATTTTCCGTAAGAGATTGTTGGTTTAAAATATTGTCTATACCAATAATTGTTTGAAGGTTGTAAATAAGTCAATAAGTGTTTTGTGCATTTTCTGTCTTACTGTCGACAGAAGAGTGAAAGATATGGAAAATAACTTAAGAAACCATCGAAGTTTTAAATTCATTCGAAAAAAACCATTCAAGTATTATATGTTCAAAAAACACCATCAAACTAAGATATATGTTCAAGAAACACCAACGAAGTACATGTTCTGTTCAAAAAACATCATCTCTATGGTTTGGGGTAGCTTACATATTTAGTCCCTAACTTTTTTTTTTTCTTAACTCGGACGGTCTCTTTAGTTTAAATTTACTTCAACTTTGGACCCTGATCGAGTTAATACTAATATACCCTTACTACTTTCATTTAACATTATTTTTATTATTTATTAATTATTTATACAATTTATGTTATTATTTATTATAAATATATCAAGTCTATAAATAATTAATAAGTAATAAAAATAAATATTAAATGAAACTAATAAGGGTATATTAGTCTTTTAATTCGATCATGGTCCGAAGGAAAAATAAATATAAACACAAGGGACCGTCCGAGTTAAGAAAAAAAAAATTAGGGGTTAAACATGTAAGATACCACAAACCATAAAAATGATGTTTTTTGAACAGAATATATACTTCGTTGGTGATTTTTGAACATATATCTTAATTTGATAGTGTTTATTGAAAATGTAATACTTAAATGATGTTTTTTAAACAAATTTAAAACTTACCTTCTAAATCATTATTTTATAAAAACCAATTGTGCTCCTGCGCTGAAACAATCAACAAAAAAACGTAGAGGTGCAATTATTTAATTAATAAGCTAAGCTAAAGAGTTTGACTAAAAAACAAAAACAAAAAAAACAAAAAAAAAACAAAAAAAAAGAAAAACAAAAAAAAAAAAACTATCTAATCTCTAAATCCATTTATTTTTGCCAGAATATACCGTGTGAACTTCCACAAGGGTTTGATAAGTCAACCATTGGAGCAGAACAGTAATGCCGGTGAGACTACGATTTATAGCGACAGATGATATTCATGTTTAAGCCAAGGTATCTACGACACCATGTTCACCTTCACTTTACGACTCTTTTCGTTGCTCCTCATCTCCACCACCACCTCCACCGCCACTGCTCAACCATACAAAGCCACAGACCACTTCCTCCTAGACTGTGGTGCATCCTCCACCACCACCAGTTTTTCACGGCGATGGAGTGGCGATGAACATTCTGAATTCCTACCTTTCAACAGCCACGTCACATCCTTTTTATCCACCCCCACCGCCCAATATCCTCCACCACCAGAAACCCTTTACACCACCAGTCGTATCTTCAACACTTCTTCATTCACCTATAAGTTTCCCGTGTCCCAAGGCCCCAAATTCCTCCGCCTCCATTTCTATCCCGCCACCTACTCCGACCTCAAAGCAAACCAATCTTTCTTCTCTGTATCATCCAATGGCTACTCTCTGTTGACCAACTTCAGCGCTTCACGAACCTCCTGCTTTCTCTCTCAACCACGTCCGAAACTTTCTAGCTTTTTCAAAGAATTTATCATCTATGTAAAAGATACCCAAATCCTAAACGTTACCTTTACACCCTCACCCAACTCGTATGCATTCATCAATGGTATTGAAATCGTTTCTATGCCGGAAAATCTGCATTTTAAGGCAGAAAAATATAAATACCTTGATCAAATTTCAGGACCCGTTGTTGATAACTACACAGCTCTTGAAACTATTTATCGGGTCAACGTCGGTGGGGGACAAATATCAAGTAAGGATGATACCGGCATGTATCGATCATGGGATGGAGATGACAATTACATATTCGGAGCTGCGTTTGGATTAACTTGGGTTATGGATAGTCCAATCGTGTACACCACAAACACACCCAATTATACAGCACCTGAGATAGTTTATCAAACCCAAAGGAGTATGGGCTACCTATCTCAGCACTACAACCTAACATGGGCGCTTCCGGTTGATTCTGGGTTCTATTACTTGCTCAGGCTCCATTTTTGCAACATTATACCAGAATATACGAAAAATTTTCAGATGGTGTTTAAGATCTTCATTAATAATCAAACTGCTGAGCATGACGCTGATCCATTCTTTTGGACTCAAGGTAGCGGGTGTCCGGTATACAAGGATTACGGTGTGTATGTAGCAGACCCAGATGGCAAACGAAGCAAGCAAGATTTGTGGCTCGCATTGCATCCTAATTATGCAGAATCTGAGAAATACAATGATGGTTATTTAAATGGTTTGGAAGTCTTCAAGTTGAACATGACTGGTAATCTTTCTAGCCCCAATCCAGAACATAGTTGTAGCACCCCAGCAGCAAGGGTGACATATCCTATAAAAGAGAAGAAGAAGAAAGCTCCATATGTCGTGATACTTGGAAGTGTTGGGGGAGGATTGGTCATGTTGTGTGTTCTAGTTCTTATGGTCTTATGTTATCGAAGGCGAGTGATGGAAAAATCATCATGGGGACGAACTTCCAGTGAATCAAAGTCTCCAAAGTATTTCAGCGCATTACTTCCATCAGATCGCTGCCATCGTTATACACTCAAAGAGTTGAAATTTGCTACAGATGAATTTAATGAAAATTGTGTCATAGGCAACGGAGGGTTTGGAAAAGTATATAAAGGGTATATGGAGAAGACTAGAGACACTGTAGCAATCAAACGGCTCAACAAATCATCCAGTCAAGGTTTTCATGAATTCCAAACAGAAATAGCGATGTTGTCTAAACTACGACATGTCCATCTAGTATCCTTGATTGGGTACTGTGATGAGAATGGAGAGATGATACTGGTGTATGAGTACATGGCTCAGGGTACTCTACAGGAACATATTTACAACACAAACAACCCTCCTTTGTCATGGAAAACACGTCTTAGTATTTGCATTGGCGCAGCTAAAGGGTTGCATTATCTCCACACATGTGGAAAGCGAAGAATAATTCACAGGGATGTCAAGTCTACGAATATTTTACTGGATGAAAAATGGGTAGCTAAGTTGTCTGATTTTGGTTTGTCAAAACTCGGGTCTAAAGATCCTTTGAAGACACATGTTAGCACATTGGTGAAGGGTAGTCTTGGGTATATAGATCCCGAATATTGCAAAACCAAACAACTTACGGACAAGTCTGATGTGTACTCTTTTGGAGTGGTTTTGCTTGAAGTGTTGTGTTCAAGACCTATTATACTTCGACGACTGAGTGACGAACAAGTGAGCTTGGTAACATGGGGCAAGTCTTGCTATCGAAGGGGAACCTTGCATGAAATAATTGATCCAAAGGTAAGTGGTGAGATTGCACCGGAGTGTTTACGGAAGTTTGGTGATGTCGCAAACAGTTGCTTGCATGAGGAAGGTTCTGAACGACCCACTATGGAGGATGTCGTATGGGGACTAGAATTTGCATTGCAACTACAACACATTGCTAATGAGTCCATGCCTGAAAATCAATAAATTCCATTTCTAATGCACGGGAGACCGGACAACATTGTTTTAATGAATATCAAGAGTTAACTATCAAACCTATTTCTTCATCAATGTCATCGAGTTGTTATTTATTTATTTATTTATTTTTTTGGGTCATGTTAGAAAACTTTAGGGGCCTTTAGTTCACATAATGTTTTTGAAATGAATTGGATCGGGTCAAGGGAATTGAAATATGATCAAATTCGAATGTGAAAAAATTAGAATCTATTATATGTAATGGTTTAGGTTTAGCTGGCAGATTTGTCAAATGAATAGAAAACTAAATTATGTAACATTACAAAAATGTCTTTTTGTTTTTAACTTATTTTTATTATTAATAATCATGATAAAATTTGAAAGTGGGTGGGTGCAGGGTACGATGAAGTGGGGTAGAGTGGGGATGCGTATGAGTGTAGGTGTGGGGGTTGGCATGTGGATGTGGGGTTGGGCGAGTTTGTTGGGCGTCAACTTTGACGTAGAGCTCGTTGGTGTTGGCGTGGGAATATATATCTACATATACTTGTAGGTGTAGGGGTAGGTTTGGGTGTGTCGATACATGGGTATGTGGGTGGAATGATCACTACTACAAAAAAAGCTCATAACCCAGTTTTTTATAAAACCGGTATGCGTGCTTTGAAGTATGTTCATGTGTACCGACTGTGCCTTGTATTCTCAGGTTGCAATGGTGGCTGGAAAACCCACCGCCACCACCTCACGATGGTGGCCGCCATTCCAAATTTGTCACTGTCGTCGTCACGAGCCACCAGGTAGGTGGCTGGAGTTTATACTGCTGCCAATAGTGTGTGTTTTGTCTAGCCGGAAAACTAATAAAAGCTACCACCACCACCGTAAGATGGTGGTTGCCACCATGTGCCACCGTAAGGGTGGTTTTGTATTTTTATATTAGTGAGTGTATGTGTCCATTTGGTATTTTCATTGTAATATCATAATAGTGGCTAGTATAATGAAAAGAAAACTCAAAACCACCACCGTGAGGTGGTGGCTGCCACCCCCTGCCGCCACAAACCAATTTCGTTGGGTGGCAGTGTGCTTTTGTTTGCATGTAGTGACTTTTTGGATGCTAGGACAAAAATGGTCTAGAAACCCTAACCACCACCGCGAGCCACCGTTGACCACCACTACCCGAGGTGGTAGTGGGTGGTGCCCAACTACTGAAACCCTAATGGGCCTAATGAACCATAATTGATCAAAATACCTAGCTATTGGGCCTATTGGGCTATGTTTGGGTTGGAAACCCTAATTAGGGTTTAGAAAACCCTAATTTTGGATATATGGGCCTTGGACTTATTGGGACCCACATTTTGGCCATTGGAATGGAATTGTGAATTACACCCAATCACACCATACAATTTATCTAGTAGAGTGATGGACTTAATGGATTAAGTCCTTAATGGGTTAAGTGAGAAACACTTAGCCTTAATTGTCATTTTATGTGTAACCCTAATTTTGGGAATTTGATAAGGACCCGTACTTGAATTATTCACTAAACTTAATATATTAATTAATAATCATTTTCAATCAACCTACATCAATATTGGACTTAATGGATTAAGTCCTTAATGGGTTAAGTAGGAAAACTTAACTCTAATAATTATTTTATGTAAAAACCTTAATTTCACTTGGACCTTGAATTGGGTCTTTCTATTGGGCTTTGGTGTTTGGAAAAATAATGGGTCATCCAAGAATAATCATATGGACTAGAATATGTTGATGGACTTTAGGGTAAGGCCCATATGAGGGTTTGGGCCCAATTGGGAAAATTGGACCATAGATGGGCCATAGTTTGGGCCTTTATGATTATGAGGTATTAGGCCATTAGAAATGTCAAATGTTTGGACTAGACTAAATGGTTGGGCCTTTGAATAAGACCATGTAAAGGTTTGGGCTTAATTTGGAAAATTAGGCCATATGTTGGACTTTGATACCTTGTTTGACTGTTGGGCCTTTGAATTGGGACTTGGGCTTGAATCAAGCCAAGATGGGGTATTGTAGCATGTTACTCCAAGAACTTAGGGTTATGTGTTCGGACCCAATTATTAATTGGGTGATATTTTGAAATTGACAGATCGAGAATCTGTCATCCAGCAGATGGAGTTGTGTCTGCGGGACTTCAATAGTGTAAGGTGGGTTAGTTTCCAGTAGAAGTGGGTCAAATGCCACAATGTCGGACCGCTAGTAGAAGTGATTTGTTAGATGATTGTCTTTGTGATAATTATCTAGTATGCTCTTATATGTTGGTAGTAGTAGGGGTGAAATAGTCTCCAGATACTGGTTGAAAGATACCGAAGCGGTCGTTAGAACCCATGCATGCCTAGCAGTATGTTTATGTTATGTTATTAAGTGGTAGTGGTAGGGGTAAAATAGTCTCCGTTATCCGGTTGAAACAGAGTGAATGGGAGGCCATCACCCATATATGTTAGGGAGTTATCCGATTGAGAGAGACCGAAGGGGAGGCCAGCACCCAAATATGCTAGGCAGTTATCCGGTTGAAACAGACCGAAGGGGAGGCCGACACCTAGATATGCTTGATTATGTATGTTACTGTATAGTATGTGGTATGATGGAGGAACTCACTAAGCTTTGTGCTTACGGTTTTCAGTTTTGGTTTCAGGTACTTCGTTTTCAAAGGAAAGGAGTCGGCTCGATCGCAACGCATCACACTATATTTCTGCATACGAGATCTTGGGGATTACACTCTCATACTGTTTTATGATAACATGTTTTGATTATTTCTACTTTGGTTTTTGACATGATATGTTATTATGGATGTTTTATTACTTATGGTCTTATAATAACTTTAAAAATTGAAATTTTCAGCCTTGGATTTTGGGATGTTATATTTATTATCACAGGATTGAGAGCATGATGTTTTACTTACCTCCTTGGTATCTAGAGTTGTGGTTGAACTGTTGTAGAAAGCTATAATTGACTAACAGAAAAAAAAAAATGATTGTGTAATAGGAGTTGATCGAAAATCCTTAAAATCAAAAAATTTTAACTGAAAATACCAATAGTCAAGACCCTAGCGGAGAACACAGAATGTCAACTAAATTTATTGACCGAGAACTCCAAAAATCAACAAAAACTCATTGACCGAAAGCTCAAAAGTTCGACCAAAAAGTCGACCGAGATTTGAATTGAAATCAATAAAAATGGGTTGAAAATAACAAAATCAAATTCTTAATCGAAATCAAAATTTTAAAATGGGCCGAAATCTCAATTGTTGACCCAAGTATTGATTGTTTAGAATTAAAACCGAAATCGCAAAACTAAAATTGGATAAATTAAAAAATTAATAAATCAGAAAATCAAATCAGTTTTATGATTTGAAGTTAAAAATCGATAAATTAAAAAAATCACAATTGAAGCTAAGGATAGAAATCACAATTGAAATGATAATTTAAGAAAATTTGACCGAAATCATTTTTTTTTAATATCAAAAGGAGTATTGCTATCAAAAGGAGTATTGTTTTGTAATAGTGGAGACCGAAATCAAATTAGAATAAAGAACCGAAATCGATTTTAGGGAGGATTAGGACCAAAATCAATTTTAAAATATAGGGACCGAAATAACCTAAGAAAATTTGACCGAAATAGAAAAAAATGATTTTAAGTAAGGAAATTGATTTGAATTTTTTTAGGTGGACCGAAAACAATTTTAAAAACAATTACCGAATTCAATTTTGAATTATAAGACCCAAAATCAAATTTGCCCAAAACAAACAAAAGAAAACAATAATTTTCAAATTTTGGTCGAAATGCAGATCAAAAAGATAAAAGGACCGAAATCAATGTAATTTGAATTTATATTTGACTGAATTACTTGAAATGTTTGAAACAGAAACAAATCAAATTCGTTAAAATACATGATTCAAATTGATACGGTTCTAATTTTAAATCCGATGAACTAGAAGAAGATTTGATGAACTGATGAACTTCCAAGAACAAAATACGATGAACAGTAGAACCTTTTAATAAAATCGAAATTTATTAAAATTTTGATTAAGTTAAAAATCCAAAACAGCAACAAAACGAGTCTCCAAAGCTTTCTTGAATCGATTGATACCAATTGTAAGTCTCAAAACTATGGATCCTATATGATATCAATCAATCTATATTGATTAAAATCGTGTCGTACATGTGAGAACCTTTTCACAGCCGAATATATAATGAATGAACAACTCTAAAAATCCTAAACGGTTATTATCTATATATACGATCAAAATACAAGGCCTAATAAATGTAACGACCCGTTCCCGGTATGTTAATTCATTAGTAATTGTTTTAAAGTTTTGCAAGAGGGACTCGGCGAGTTCATAGCCTGACTCGCCGAGTAGGGTCGCGACTTCGAGCACGTGTTAGCTGGAGACTCGGCGAGTCCATATCCCGGACTCGGCGAATCCGTCCGTCTGGGTGAAACCCTAAATCCCCGGGTTGCCCACTATTTAAGTCACCTTATAGCCCCCATTCTTGCCTCCTTCACCCTCTAAAGCTGTGAGAAAAACCCTAGTTCATCCTTGAGAGTTTGTAAGTGATTTTGTGTGATTTTGTGAAGGCTTGAAGAAGGAGAAGAAGAAAGGAGCAAGGAGAAGAGGTGGAGTGCCAAGATCTAAGGGCAAATCTGAGTTATTTGAGGTATTTTCGGATTTCCCCTCTTGTTTTATGCTTTAAACCTCCATTAGAACTCTTCTAAGATCTAGTTGATGCTTGTTCCAAGCCTTATGATTGCATGAATGCCCTAATAAGCCGAGATATCCTTAGATCTACTCATTGAGAAGTCCCATAGTCCAGATCTATTGCCTTTATGAGGATACTTTGCATATTAACCCTAGATCTATCCCTTTTATGCATCTTTTAGCCTTATTTCCCTTGTTCATGTGTTTGTACACGTAAAGTTGGAAACTTTACGTGGTAAATCAGCTTATTGGACTCAGATCTATCATTTGTATGTTCTGGATTCAAGCTAA